AGGAATCCATTGATATGGCCTCTAGACAATGATGGAAAGAACAATTGTTTTTAAAACATTCTAATAGTTAGTTGTGAAGATTTTTTTATGTAGTACCATGTAGTATTTTAATATAATAAAACTTCAGTTGTAGCTTTTTTTTTTAATAAAAGCTGGTGGAAAGCTTTTGAAATTACCCTTTGTGTCACTGAGAGATCAAAAGAGATTAGATCTCAAGCTTTTAACCTTTTCAGGATAGAATAACTCCAGTTTTATATGATTTGTCTGAAAGTGAAATATTCTTCACTGTGAAAATACATTTTGGCAGCTTGCCATATATGTACCTTTTTATTTAACGTATTGCAATTATACCTCAAGGCTTTGTTATGCTTTTTACTGTACAATGTATATTAAAAAAGACAGTTGCTGTCATTTTTGCTGCAAGAATTTGCAGTATTAACATACAGCACAGGACAACTGACAAGGATAAACAAGGAAGGAAAAGGGCAAAGTCACTGGCAAATACGAATTGTATTCAGTTCCTCAAATAAATATAAATGTAAAGTATGCCTTTAATTCTGCCTGTTTTGACCATGGAATTTGTTTTCTGTGTAAACAAAATTTTCTTAGACCAACATGCTACTCTAACCCTAACCCTAACCCTAACCCTAACCCTTACCTTTGATTTGGGGCAGGGCAGGTAACAGGTCCTGGGTCTCCTCTGTATAGGTATTGTAGCAGGAATATAATGTGCCCCGGAAGTCAATTTGAGTGCATTTGACAGAGGGGGAAAAGCAAAGGGCAGTGACAGTGAGGAACTGAGTGCACCATAAACAACTGCCTGGAGGCAGCCATGGACAGTCTGCCTTGGAACTGTCTGGGCTTTAAAAATCAGGTTCAATCTAACAGGACATAATGGTCTTCAGCTTAGCCTGTGCATGAGTTCTTTTGCCTCTCAGGAATCTCTGGGGTGGTGCAGAAACTCCCACAAACAGTATGTGGGATCCATGGGTACGTTGAGTGCTTTATCAAACACACCAAGCTTGAAACACAGCAGCAGTTGTGGTAATTTCAATCTGAATGTGAACATTTGTCTCCTGCAAGGTACTACTTGTAAAAATGTACATATGTAGTTAATTTTATGGAGGAAAATATTGCAAATATTTGTCCCAGCAAAGGGAACAGGAGGCATAGCTAGGGCACAGTAGATGCAGAAATGTCAAACTGGCAGTGCTGTGAAACCTAGCTTGACATTGAGCCACAACTGCAAGGTATGTTGACTAGTACATCATTTGCCTATTGAGGAAAAAATAAAGGGTATATGGAATGTATGTGAAATAATTTATTTTAATTTAATGTCAGCAGTTGAGATTTTTCTTACCTGACTGCAGTGTTTGGCTGATAGGACCTGCACTGCAAAAGAAGGTAGAGTAGCCATTCAGTTTGTTGATGAGCTCAAAGGCTTCATCCTTTTGTCAAAACTCAAAACTAAGGAGCTTAAGTGAACCTTTGTTCAAATAAAAGTTTTCTTCTGCAGACTCTCCCTTATATTTGAAATAAATGTCACTGTATATGTTAACCCAATGTTTTTGTAATCTATACTTGTAGTTCTGCTGCAAGTCAACCTTTTTCCCATGCCTTTGAACAGATGTGTTGTCTTTTTACCTTACCACAACTTTTTTCCTGTAGAACTTTTTTTTGCTTTACTTTACCAGAATACTTTGTTAAATATTTAATTTTCATTGCTTCTGGCCCCATGTTGAATATTTTCCAGTTCTCTGTCCTACTGAACTTTTCTTGCAAGCTTTACTTTAAGAACTCCTCATTTCTTTTTCCTATTTTATCTACAATGCAAAGGATATGATCTTTTTTTCCTCCCCATTCCTCGTTCCCAAACATTTCCTACTTGTTTTTCACATAGATGGCACTCCTCACTTTTCCTCAGAGACATCACCGTTGTTGAATTTATATCTTGTATAAACTCACACACAAACCTGGGCAGAGGGAAGGAGAAATACAGCAACTTGGAAGATGTGTATTTGCATGTGTATTTTGCATTTTATAAATATGAAATATCATAGTGCTATATGGTATTTTACTTCTGCTTGCATTTCTGGTCTTGATTTTTGTATGATGTTTGGTTTAAATTCACCAGACTATTTCCTGTTAGATGTATTCAGGGATGTTTTTAACAGTTTCTCCATGTTACAAGGATTGCAAAATTAGGTTAAAATCTTGTTCTGGATAAGAATCTGAAATCTAGAGTTAAATATTAAACATAATTTTAGTGGTTGCACAATATCATTCTTCTGGATAACATTTACAGAATGAGGAGTAAAATAAACTAAAGGTGAGGTATGACATGAAATTTATCATTCATACAGTCAAAAAGAAATTATTTGCACTTCAAATTCAGCATTGTACATGTAATTCTGATAATGATGCTTCTTACCAACCCTCTTTCAAGCAATAGATATAGGACACAGCCAGAGTCAGAACACTAGCCTTGAACTAATGAGTGACTTTTGTCACAGAATTTATTTTGACATTCTCTTATTGTTCAAAAGTAATACAAACTAGACTTTGGTCTATGAATTTGCTAGAAAACATGCATTTTTGTGTCTTCATACACAACTCTTGGAGGTTGCTTTGAGGCTTATTATGTTTTTCTTTAGTAACATATAACTTTTTCTTAATAAAACATATTTTTAATTGTGTGAAGTAAACATTATTCAGGAAGTTCCAGATGAAATTTTGCAAGTTTCATTATTCAGGATACCAGACTAACTTTTCATAATGGATCCTGAAGGCTTTTTAAACCCATAATTGTATAAATGAAGCATGTGCTTAGGGTGTTCAGATTTGTATCCCAAGAAGCATATTTTATTTTAGCCCATGTGAAGAGTAATGTCCTTGTTCAGGAACCTGTTACAGTTCAGGAATGATGATTTATTAAGTGCCTCACTTAAAGAGTAATTTGAAGTAGCCTGGACGTTAAGTGCATATGGAAGAGCTGTTTTAGGAGTCATCCCAATTCTTTCCAGACAGAGATTTACTGTGTTTTTTTCCTACCAAGTCATGTAAATTGTCAAGGAGTAAAAAAGGAATGTGTAATGTATCAAGTGGCCTGAGGCTGCATCATGCCTTGATTACAGGAGATAAAAATCCCAACGCTGTAAATCTGTGTTTCATTAATAGATTTTGGCCCTAACAGGGATACTTCACCAGGACTCTTTTCAGTGGGTTTTTTACAACCACACATTATTTACAAGCATATGTGTGTTTTATTGCTAAAAGGATGAGGTTTCAGTTTTTAAAAGATTAAAGGGACGGACCTATTTACAATCATATCTGTGTATTCTCAGCTGTGTATACATGTGTGCACTTTATTCAACCTCATACACTCACGTGTCAAATGTTCATACTGATTTTACTGTTTTCTTCCAGGGGAAGACCCTGAAACAAGAAGAATGAGAACTGTAAAGAATATAGCAGACCTGAGACAGAATTTGGAAGAAACTATGTCCAGCCTTAGAGGGACCCAGATAAGTCACAGGTATACTGGTTTAGTGTAGACTGCTAAAAATTTGAACCATGGGAGAGCATTACTAGTTGCTGAATGAATGTGAGACTTGAAAGGGAAAATTAACTATGATACTAACCATAATGTTTGCAAGACTGCCTCAACAACTTATATGTGACTTTATTATACTTCTTTGTCAAAGTGTCTTATACAAACAAAGAGAGGGTTTGTTTCATATACATTTACTTAGAAGCCTACAAAATTTATTTACAGTTATTTTATAAGTAGAGGTTACAGAGTCATAGCATTGTAAAGTCATTTAGGTTGGAAAAGACTTCTAAGACCACCAAGTCCAACCAGTAGCACAGTATTGCCAAGTCCACCAATAAACAATGTCCCTAAGTGCTACATCTACAAGTCTTGTAAATACCTCCAGGAATGGTGACTCAAACACTTCCCTGGGAAATCCTGTTCCAGTGCTTGACTACCCTTTTCATGAAGAAATTTTTCCTAATATCCAGTCTAAACCTCCCTTGATGCAGCTTGAGGCTGTTTCCTCTCATCACTTGTTACCTGGGAGAAGAGACTGAAAGCCATGTGGCTACAACTTCTTTTCAGGTAGTTGTAGAGAATGCTAAGGTCTCCCCTGAGCCTCCTTTTCTCCAGGCTAAGCAACCCCAGCATCCTCAGCTGCTCCTCATATGCCTTACTCTCTAGACTTTGCTGCCCTTCTCTGGACATATTCTAGCATTCAATGTGCTTCTTATCGTGAGGGGCCCAAAACTGAACACAGGATTTGAGGTGCAGCCTCACTAGTGCCTCATACAGGGGGACAATCAGTGCTCTAGTCCTGCTGGCCACACTGTTTCTCATACAATCCAGGATGCCATTGGCCTTCTTGGCTACCTGGGCACACTGCTAGCTGGACAGCTTTCTGGCTACTCTATCCCAAGCCTGTAGCTCTTCATGGGGTTGTTGTGTCCCAAGTTCAGGACTCAGGCACTTTGCCTTGTTGAACCTCATACCTTTAGTCTCAGCCCATTGATCTAGCCTGTCCAGATCCCTCTGCAGAGCCTTCCTACCGTCCAGCAGATAAACACTCCTGCCCAATTTTCTGTCATCTGCAAACTGACTGAGGGGGCACTCAATCTACTTCTCCAGGTCACTGATAAAGATGTTAAACAGGACTGTCCACAGAACTGTGGGACATACACAAGCACATGTGTGCACATGGTGAAAGCATACACACACACACACACACACAACTTTATAAAACAAATATATATTCCTCCAACTTTTACTTTTCCTAGTTTCTTAGGAACAGACAAGACACAGTTCACTGACTTCTTCATTCTGTTTGGCAGCACATTGGAGACAACTTTTGACAGCACTGTGACAACTGAAGTGAATGGGAGAAACATACCGAGCTTGTCAAGCCGATCGACCCCAGTGACTTGGAGGCTAGGGCAGGCCAGTCCTCGGCTGCAGGCAGGAGATGCCCCGTCCTTGGGTGCTGGTTATCCTCGTAGCAGTGCGAGTCGCTTCATACACACAGATCCTTCTCGTTTCATGTATACCACCCCTCTTCGCCGAGCAGCTGTTTCTCGCCTTGGAAATATCTCACAGTTCGACATGAGTGAGAAGGGAAGTGGTGATTTGGACATATCCTCTGAAGCTGACGTTGGTGGCTATATGAGTGATGGGGACATTCTTGGAAAAAGCCTCAGGACTGATGACATCAATAGTGGGTAAGCAGCACTTTTTCCCCATTTGAACTAATGCATGATTGGTAGATTTAATAGAATTTTTCTGAACAATTCTGGCACACAAGTGGAAGTTGCATTATGGTTGGGACATTAAAATATATATATAAAAAAACCCTCCTCTAATCTGGCAGTGATACTCTCAACTGCCTTTAAATTCTGTTCTTTTCGTTTAACATCAAGATGACCTTGCTGTGAACTTTGATAAAAGCACAGGTACTTCTTATTACTTACTGGAAATTCTTGGTTATCTGGTAAACCATCATTTTGCATGGCTTTCCCTGGGATGAGTCTTCTTTTG